AAATTCCTGAATCTTTTTAATTTTGGACTAATACATACATACATACACACACACACACACACACACACACACACACATATATATATATATATATATATATATATATATATATATATATATATATATATATATATGCCTTAAATAGGATGGATATCAACATCTTAATACTAGGTGTGAGGGAATACCTGAGGAACCTTTCAGAAAATCGTTGGCAAAATTATTACTAATTTGTTTCATAACAAGAACGACGCCCGCCAAACATTCTAAAAGACTTGGGCACCTCGAGGCGATGTAATGGCTAGCAAACCTGTGTCGCTAAAACAATTACGACTGAGTAGTGAGCTCGATCCTCACTGGATGCCCCCTACTTTCGGCCTTGTGTAACATCTAAGCTACGGGAAAATCACAATCTAAGGGACTGATCTGTTTTTCATCCCCACATTTAGCCCCATAAATTGTTTTTCGTCGTTCCTGTTATAAAAAAAAATCATGAATAATAATTTTTGCCGATGATTTTCTCTGTTGAAGGGTTTGTAGAAACGTTCCTCAGATTTTCCCCAACATTTTTCTGATTGTTATATTTATCGTCAACAATTTACATATATTGAAAATTCAAAATTACCACCTTTTGCTTTCGCCATAGGCTTTATTCTCTTCCCAATTGAAGTGAATGACTTCATCGGCAGCTCTTTGCTCTAATTGTACCACGGTGTCATAAGGGCTTCTTTTAAGTTTGGCACTTTTGAGTATGAGATACGTGAAACATCGACCCCCCACCTCGTTATGGGCCCTATCGTAAATTAATGGCTTGATGATGACCAACTTGACTAAAAATCTATGGAAATGTCTCTTGCACCAGTTTTGCGTCAAATTGGTAATAACTATAAGATCTCGTCTTAAGATAGTGTTGTGTACGATACACCTAATTTACATAAGTGGAGTACCGACCATATAAATATGGGTTGGTACCGGGAAGACAAAAGGAGAAGTAAGAAGAGATCCACTCGAGAGACTCTGCCCGACTGCTATTTAGTCAACCCATTCTGCAGGAACAGTCTTCCCAAGAATATACCAAAACTAACTGTAAATATTGTGTACCTTTTTCATTGTTTCAATACATTTTGTTACGTACATTTTGTGTTGTATTATTATTATTATTATTATTCCATGCTTATTCAAGCTTCAATAGATAGCGACATCCAAATTTGACTGAGAACCAGAGCAATACACCTATCTCCAATATTTTTTGGCAACTTCAATTCACTTTGTCTCCTTCAATGAGCACCAAAAAACCATTTAGAACCATCGGAAGCAACAAAAGATTCAAACCATGACACCAGTTGGTTTCAGTTGATTGAAATGCATTCGGACATCTTCAAGAATGTCTCCTGGTGAAGTGCCATAAACCCTATCGTTGTAATTGGCCACCGCTTCCACGGGGAAAGAAAACACAAACTTGACGATCGATAGAACAAAGACTTCGTCTGTGGCACGCTGTATCTCCTCTGAAATGTTTTTTTTTTCTCTCTCTGACAAGCCAGTTCTGCTTACAGATACTTGAGAACTAATGTTGTCATCCGGTCTTGTATGGTTTTAACCCTAAATCGTCTTTCGCAATTCTTCTTAGCCAACGATCTGAGATATCCAGCACTTTTGCCATCTTCCTCCTGCGTCTTTGTCGATTTCTCATCCTCCTCCTTTTGACGGCTTCATTGTCTTTGCTATTTAAGACTCAACAGTTTCTTCCTGAAGTTAGATTTGATAAGATCGTTTGTTCTTCATGAAACTTTCTCCACACATTAAAAATAGTTTTTCTACAAACATTCAACTGTTTTATAAACTCAGCATTTTCAATGCAGCATAGTGATTCCATTTTGTTTGAGCTCCCATACTTTTAAATTGTCAACAATAAATAAAACAATGTTATGAAGTCTTATGCAAAATTTGAAACTATTGTCTTATTACTCTTCTATTATTATTATCCCTCTTTCATAATATTTCTATTTTTTTCACACCCAGTAACCCCTTGTGCTTTGGTGACTTTATTGCCTTTGTTGGGGTAAAATAGATAAAAAAACTCTTTTTTTCAAAGAGATATGTTTCAATTTATGCTTAAATAATGGACAATTATTTATGCAAAATTTGGAAAATTTACCATATATGTACAGGGTGTAAAAGTTATTGGACAAGCTTATTAACTCTTTTTATAAGATAACCCCTTTTATAAGCACATTTGTAAACTTGACAGTTCTAAATAAAAATGTCAAGTTTACAAATGTGCTAATAAAAGGGGTTAATCATCCATGGCCGAAATTGCCAAGTTGAGTTGTTAAATCTGAAAGAAAAAGAAAAAATCTTTAGACGCTTAAACTAAATTCAAATTTAAAATCGGTCCAAGTTATTGGTACACCTTTTATTTATATAAATTATTTCACTTATGTAAATATCTTTCTAGGTTATATTTTATTGAAGGCTACAGACACCATAAACGCCTATTCCTATACATATTTACATAAGTAAACATAGATGCATACATATTTTCTAAAGAAATAATGAGTTTTTGCTTAATAAACCGGCATATTTTATCACTGCAAACGTTATTTTAGTAGATATTCGTATTTGAGTAGACGCCCCGTTTATTTATTAAACATAAGTTTATTTATTTTTCTCTATTGGAAAAGAAATCTTATTAAAGAAAATTATGCGCTCTCTGGCATGATATAAACTCGCATCGCCCAGAACAGAGGGAAAGTCGTTGGAACTGATGTGTTCTAACCTAGTGAGAACTTAGCCAGTCAGGTAAGGCTTTTACTTAATGACCTGTCATGATATATTTGTCTTCATCGATTGATAAATTTACTGGTCTGAAGAAATCTCGGAAGAAATAAAATAATAATAACAGTTTCAACAAAGTTATTCAGGTTTTTTTTCTCTTAAAATCTCTTTTTTCCTTTGATCAAAACCCCAAATCAATTATTTTGGGAGTTGAATAACATTAAAAGAGGTTTCCTGTCATAAAACCCTTTCATCTGTCGCGGTCGCCGATTATCCGCTCCTTACAAAGCCGACCTTGACCTTCACAACTCTCGATCTCGCAGATCTAGGTCAAGCAACAGGCCAGAAACCGGACGGCTAGTCCAATATCGTTGATGTCAAACCATACCTAGTACGCATCTGACTATGCTGAGCCATTCTAAACATCGGCAACCATAGACTATAATTTATTATCTACGGCCTTCTACCCCTAGCCAGGGGAGTACTTGAACAAATCTTTGCAAATATCCTTGAAAAACTGAGCAGCTCGGCCTGGAGGCCTGGATCAAAGTGTAGTAAACTACCTTTGTGAACTTCCGGTGCTTTTGTCGAGAGTTACTCTTCGGCGCGATCCCGTCTCCACGGTCGATCCGCCCCCGGAAGGTAAACCTCTCTGACCCTACCTCGCCTGGTGATACACTCTGGCGCGATCCCGTTTCCGGGTTGATCCGCCCTGTGGAACCTTATCACTGGTCTGCCTTGGCCCTTTTAGGACTCCGTCTTCGCCTGGTGATACATTTGGCGCGATCCCGTTCCGCGGTCGATCCGCCCCGTGAAGTAGCATCACTGGTCTGCCTTGGCCCTGTTTAGGGACTCCGTCTTCGCCTGGTGATACACTTTGGCGCGATCCCGTTCCGCGGTCGATCCGCCCAGTGAAGTAGCATCACTAGTCTGCCTTGGCCCTGTTTAGGGACTCCGTCTTCGCATTTCGGCCGAACCAACTACGTTCGCCGACCAATCCTAAACTACCGGGCCAGACCAGCTACTTTCGACCAGACCAGCTACGCTCTACCAATCCTAAACTACCAGGCCAGACCAACTACATTCGACCGACCAGCTACATTCTACCAGAACCAACTACGTTCGCCTACCAAACCTAAACTACCGGGCCAGACCAACTACCGACCAGACCAGCTACAATCGACCGAACCAGCTACGTTCGTCGATTAACCAATTTTCGGACCACACCGATGTAAATGTGAATAAAACGACACTTTTGTTCATAAAAAAAACTTTGCCTTTGTCCCGTCATTGTCTTGGCTGTTCACATTTATCGTATACTTAAAAACCTTGCGGGGCGACATCCTACTCGGCCCCGCAACAAGTGGTGACTTCCCTGACGTGAGACAGCTAAGCGATGATGGAGTCGGCTAAAAGTGATTCTTTGGACATGACGGCTGCGATCATACCTCTGCCTGCATACCACCATAATGCCAAGAACTGGTTCTGCAGGTTCCATCTTTTCAATGCTACGCATTACTTCACAGCGAGCCAGATTCGCGAATGTAATGCAGAAACTCCCATCTGATATGATGGACGAAATTTCTGATGTCCTTCCGATTTGCGCGAGCATGAACCGTACGATCACTTAAAGGAAGCAATCCTCAAGCGAACCGGACGTTCCGAGGAAGATATGATCCAAGAGATACTGCGGAACGTCACTAGAGGCGACAAAACGCCATCCCAGCTTCTCAGATATATGAGGAACCAGCTGGGAAAGCACAACGTATCGAAAAAGGTTCTTCGAGGTTTATGGCTGGATTTTGATAAATCTGTTGCACAAATCATCGCACCAATGACGAGAGCCACGCCTCTGGATGATTTGGCAGAATCTGCTGATCTTGTTTTTGCACAGTTCGACCACAGCGTTAACGCTGTTCGCGCCCCCGACATAGCGAAGCACGAACGCTACGAGCCTGAAAGTAAAACGGAACGGGCGTTGGCCGACCTTCAACGGCAATTCGGGAGCTCCAGATCTCCCTGCGCCCGCGGACGAGGACATCGACCCCATCTCGACGGAGACGAACCCCAGCCGAGAACGGCGAAGCGACCAGGGTGTTTGTTGGTTTCATCGCACATTCGGCGATGAGGCCAGGAATTGTAAACCTCCTGTACACACCAGTCGGCCCGGGGAAACGAATAAACCGGAGAGTCGCGACGACTAACTCTTCCGGTGCCAACACGCAATGTCGTCTATTTTACGTTTGGGATCGACGGAACAAGTTGAAATTCCTGGTGGACACAGGTGCGGCCATCAGCGTGGTACCCTTCAGAACGACCACACCGCTAAACCCACCCTGATCAAACTACGAGCAGCGAATGGTTCCGCGATAGACACGTACGGAGAAAGGACCCTTACTTTGAATATCGGCATGCGACGCGATTTCTTGGACATTTACCGTGGCCAACGTGAAGGTACCCATCCTCGGCGCGGATTTCCTGGCGCATTACGCACTGGCGGTCCATATGAACCCTCTCTGTCCGATACGACGACGAATCTCCGTGTCTTAGGTACCCCCACGTCAAGGCTCCACAGGAATCAGCGTCGCAACATGCCATGGTCGCGAGTATTAGATCTCCTGACGCAGTTCACGGATATAACGCTGCCCCTCAACGGCTTCAGGTGACCATCAGACTCAGCACCACATCAGAACCCGAGGTCCTCCGCACACTCCCATCCGCGACGACTCGCTCCGCACAAACTGGCGTACGCCAAGGAGCAATTCGACAAAATGCTCAGTGATGGCATCATTCGTCCTTCCGATAGCCCTTATGCCTCGCCACTACACTTAGTGCCTAAACCTGGTGGTGAAGAATTTCGGATATGCGTCGACTACCGGAAATTGAATGCATCGACCGTACCAGACCGATATCCTGTCCCTCATATCCATGATTTTGCATCCGGATTGATGGGGCTCGCATCTTCTCGAAAATCGACCTGACAAAGGCATACCACCAGATCCCCGTCGCTGCGGAAGACGTCCCAAAACGGCAGTCACAACACCGTTTGGCCTATACGAATTTCTAAAAATGCCGTTCGGTCTACGTAACGCTGCCCAGACCTTCCAACGACTCATAGACGAAGTCCTGCGCGGACTTCCGCATGTATACGCCTATATCGACGACATCTTGGTGGCCAGTACAGACGCCGATTCTCACAGACAACACCTGCGAGAAGTCTTCCAGCGACTCTCGCACTACGGCCTGAAGTTGAACCTGGACAAGTGCGTTTTCGGGGCGCCAGCGTTGACTTTCTTCGGGCACCGCACCGACGCAGACGGCATAGCACCTCTGCCAGACAAGATCAGCTCGATCCGGGACTTTCCTACACCGACGTCCATGAAGCAATTTGCGACGTTTCCTCGGCATGCTCAAATTTTATCGTCGGTTTCATACCAAATTGCGCTTACCATCCTCCAGCCACTGACGAACCTGCTGCAGAGAAGAAACAAGGACATCTCTTTGGAGGAGATGCTTTGCACGCATTCCATACAGCGAAGGCTGCATTGGCGAATTATACCAGGCTCTCGCATATCAACGACGATCCAGAGACACGACTATTCCTGACGACCGACGCATCCGACGCTGGTGTGGGCGCGGTGGTTGAGCAAGAGTTCAACTCACAACGCGAACCCATCGCATTCTTTTCAGCCAAGCTTTCGCCAGCCCAGAGAAAATATAGCACCTTCTCCCGAGAGCTGCTGGCCATTTTATCTGGCCGTCAGGCATTTCAGGCACTTACTGGAAGGTCGAGATTTTACCATCTATACCGACCATAAACCGTTGACAACCGCGATGAGTAACAACTCTGACAAGTATACAGCTCGCGAGATCCGGCATCTCGACTACCTGTCACAGTTCTCGACCGATATTCGTCACATAAAGGAAGGACAACGCCGTCGCAGACACATTATCGCGAGCGGAAATTCAATCTCTTCAGACCGGCGTCTTGGGTCAAGATTCCATAGCCGCTGAACAAAATCCGACCCCACGCTGCAAGACGTCCTTTCGAATACTTTAAAAGCTTCAGGAGTTCCCTGCATCCTTCAGCGACGACACCCTGTACTGTGACACCAGCCTAGCAAGCCCTAGGCCCTACATCCCACCGACACTTCGGAGACAGGTATTCCAACATTTCCACGGGCTGTCTCATCCAAGTGGCGCGAGCTACGGTCAAACTTATTACCGACCGATTCGTTTGGCCCAATATGAATGCGGACATTCGAGAATGGGTTTCCAATGGAGTGCCAGAAGTGTAAGGTCCACCGACACACTAAATCCCCCGTCGGCACCTTCAGCAGTCCCGATGCACGGTTCTCACACATGTCGACTTAGTGGGACCGCTTCCGATGTTCAGGATTACCAGTATCTTTTGACGGTTGTGGATCGTTTTTCGCGGTGGCCGACCGCCATACCTATAAAAAGACACTTCCTGCTAACACAGTCTCTAGGACCATCCTGAAAGAGTGGATTGGAACTTTCGGCACGCCCCACGTTATCACGACCGACAGGGGGTCACAGTTCCAGTCGTCCCTTTTTCGGGAGTTTACCAACCTGCTTGGCGCCAAGCACATAAAGACTACCGCTTATCATCCGTGCGCCAACGGCTTAGTTGAGAGGTTTCATCGGTCCCTTAAAACCTCCCTGGCCACTAGACCTGACACTATCAATTGGGTGGACGACCTACCTTTAATTCTCCTAGCATTGAGGAACACCGTAAAGGAGGATTTAGGTTGTTCACCCGCCGAACTGGTTTTCGGTACACCTCTTGCGCTACCCGGCGAATACTTCGACGACTCCTTCAGACGTTTTCAAAACCAACATCTCCTTTCGTCGAGGAACTCCGCCACAAAATGGCCCGGCTTAAATATGCAACTCCACGACAGCAACCGGTGAATTCGTACATCCCTCAACACTTGCGAGATTGCAAATTCGTTTTCGTACGGAACGACGCCGTGAGACGACCACCACGCCGGCATACCAAGGTCCTTTTCAGGTTCTTCGACGCACCGACAAGCACCTTACGATCAAGCGCGCTAACTCGACCGACACCATCGCAATCGATCGGACCAAGCCTGCTTTTCTGGAGAAGCGACAGTATGACGCAAACCCGGCTCTGCGGCCCCCTAATGCTATTCCAGCGCACCCATCAGACGCAGCACCGCAGACATCAAACGACACCCCAGCGACTCCTGTGCGGCAGACCCGATCCGGTAGGAGGGTCACTTTCCCTAAAGACCTTCGTAAATATTATTATTAATTGATACGATCAATTTTCTAGGGAAGGGCCTTGTCGCGGTCGCCGATTATCCGCTCCTTACAAAGCCGACCTTGACCTTCAAACTCTCGATCTCGCAGATCTAGGTCAAGCAACAGGCCAGAAACCGGACGGCTAGTCCAATATCGTTGATGTCAAACCATACCTAGTACGCATCTGACTATGCTGAGCCATTCTAAACATCGGCAACCATAGACTATAATTTATTATCTACGGCCTTCTACCCTCTAGCCAGGGAGTACTTGAACAAATCTTTGCAAATATCCTTAGACACTTTTTTTCCCCAAACTAGGCAGCTCGGCCTGAGGCCTGGATCAAAGTGTAGTAAACTACCTTTATGCTTTTGTCGAGAGTGTTACTCTTCGGCGCGATCCCGTCTCCACGGTCGATCCGCCCTGGAAGTGTAACACCTCTCTCTGACCTACCTCGCCTGGTGATACACTCTGGCGCGATCCCGTTTCCGCGGTTGATCCGCCCTGTGGAGTTGTATCACTGGTCTGCCTGGCCCTGTTTAGGACTCCGTCTTCGCCTGGTGATACACTTTGGCGCGATCCCGTTCCCGCGGTCGATCCGCCCTGTGAAGTAGCATCACTGGTCTGCCTTGGCCCCTGTTTAGGGACCGTCTTCGCCTGGTGATACACTTTGGCGCGATCCCGTTCCCGCGGTCGATCCGCCCAGTGAAGTAGCATCACTAGTCTGCCTTGGCCCTGTTTAGGGACTCCGTCTTCGCATTTCGGCCGAACCAACTACGTTCGCCGACCAATCCTAAACTACCGGGCCAGACCAGCTACTTTCGACCAGACCAGCTACGCTCACCTACCAATCCTAAACTACCAGGCCAGACCAACTACATTCGACCGGACCAGCTACATTCTACCGAACCAACTACGTTCGCCTACCAAACCTAAACTACCGGGCCAGACCAACTACCGGACCAGACCAGCTACAATCGACCGAACCAGCTGTTCGTCGATTAACCAGTTTTCGGACCACACCGATGTAAATGTGAATAAAAACGACACTTTTGTTCATAACAAAAACCTTTGCCTTTGTCCCGTCATTGTCTTGGCTGTTCACATTTATCGTATACTTAAAAAACCTTGCGGGGGCGACATCCTATTTAACACATCTCTTTCGCTAGTTTCTCCCTAATCTTGATTTGTAATTAACTTTAAATATTATTCCACACGACTCACGAAAAACAAGTCATATAGGCTGTGGTGAAGGAAACCAGAGTTGCTTCCCCTTTGATCTATTCGACTATAAAAGAAATGTTGGAGCCTCATTTAAGAGTAGTTGTTAAATTGCATTGAATAAACGTTCAAAATAAGCTTAAATATTCGCCTGTTTTTCTTTACGGTTCATAGGATTTCCTCATTTAATTCTGGGGCGGCAGAAATGTGCAGCTTTTTTAGAGCTTAACATAAAATAAACCCATTCATTTATCAAGTATTTTTGTTTTATTTAAAGCATATAGATCTAGTGACCTCAGTTTATTAACATTATCAATCTTGTCTGCATCAATAAATAAATAAGTTTAAAGCTTAATCATTCAAAAGCAGGTGCGATGGATAAATTGTCGCCTAAATTACGCAAAAATGAAAATAACACTGACATCTCATTTTAACAGATATTTTGTGTAATTTTGATAAATATATCTTGAAATATTAAATCCAAATTACGCAAAAATGTAATAACACTGACATTTTAACAGATATATTTATCAAAATTACACAAAAATATCTTGAAATACAAAAGAGTAAATTTATTCAGTAAAACAGCCATTGGCTTAAACCACAGCCTCCGAACGACTTCGTAATCTCCTGCAACTTTTCTGGACGGCCTCCTTGTTTAAGTTGTCGAATGATACTATAATCCTTGCCTTCAGTTCATCTTTGGTGTTACAAGGGGTTTTGTTGGTATTTCGCTCTCCCGCACCCCACACATAATAATCAAGGGGGTCAGGTGGTTAGATGTAAGGGGTGATGTGGACGCATAAATTGTCTGACAGCCATGACTGCGTTCTTCTGCTTGTGTGGCATGGTGCAGAGTCATGTTGCTAGATATAGGATCTTCCAGCAGACACCCTATTGATCCAGGGCAGCACTACCTCTTTAAGGCACTTGATGTAGTCCTCCCTGTTGAGTCTGAGGCCCTGTGGTAAGATGAATGGAGGCATTACGTCGCCAAAACTAGTAATCGCTCCAAACTCCTTCGTAATCATCCTCGACATCCAGATCTTTCCGAACCCTTTGCACTGTCCTTAGACTGAAACCCAAACACTCTGAAATATTTGTCTTGGAACTTCCGGCGCGAAGGACAAGCAGTTCAGCATGCCGTTTTCAAAATTCTGGCGGAGTGAATTGAGTCATGATGCTCTTTTTCTCACAGACGGTGATCAACTGAACCTACTATAGTGTGAAATCGACAAAATCAAAAGCAAAGAACGCGCATGCGCGAAATGAAAAATATAATATGGTGACAATTTATCCATCGCAACCTTCTAGTAAAAAAATTGCTTGAAATTTTCATCTTCAGAGGAAAAGTTTTTTTTTTTTTAATTATGCTATTTATTGATTTTTAAAAATTTTTTTTTGATTTTTTAAAAAAAAGAAAAAATGTCGGTCGATACATGTTTCATCTTAATGTTTTCCTATATATGGAAAAAGATTACGTCCTGAAAATGACAATTTGAAATTGTCGAAAGTACTTGACATGTGTCTTCCATATGACAACAACTCGAATATAAGTATCTTATTATTCAAAGAAGTGTGAGTAAGTTAATGTCTCATTAAGCCCTGTTAGCGAAGTGATTTCGGCATTAATCATATTAACATTGCTATTTAATTATTTGTATAAATTGTTTCTTTATGATATAAAATATAAGCTGCACACTCTAATATATATATATATATATATATATATATATATATATATATATATATATGGGTAAGTATATAAATATAAGGATGCAGTCATTCTACATTTACTAAATGTTCCTACTCACTTTCTGCTTTATGTTAATGCTCTGCTCCCCCCAATTCTCAGATCATTAGCAAATATCTATACAGTGTATGGTGTAACACCAAAAATCAAGATGACCCAAATTTGACAGCCATTCTCTCATCTGACCTAAATTTTAACAGTCCAACGGGGAGTGGGGAAATATTTTTCATCACTGAGCTGACACTAAATTCTAATCAGTCATGATGAATGCTTGCACTCTCAAAGAGGATCCTTGCTTTCAACATTTTAGGGGACTCCTGTTTACTTCAGGCCTCAATTGGAACTCATATATAATGTGTCGTTAAAGACGTTGGAGAAATTATCAGCTCCATATAGAGCTCTATCACTATCTCCATAACATGTGTTGTAACGATCTATATTCCTTAGACTCACCAGCTCTAACCTTTAATTCTGGAACCCACCATGCCACGTACACAAGCATGAATCATCACCATTCTCTTTGCATCTCATTAGTAAGCATTAGTAATTTTCGCCCGGGTATCTTCTTCCCAAGAACTGTTGTTTGAGAAACCGATACCTGGTAGGATGTTTTCGCAATCGCAGCAACCTTGACCAGTTCCAGTTAAGAGTTAACCATTATCTTTCCTGCATAACTGCGTGACCTTCACTTCTTTTCTTATGCTCATACAGCAACACACAGTAACCGTCTAACTTGAGTGACTCTTGAGCCTTTTATTGAGCGAATATTAATATAAAAAAATAAAAAAGTATCTAACTCCATTTGCCATTCTTTATTTTTACAAAAGCCTATTAGAACTAAAAAGGGAGTTTTGCTGCCATATCTTGGAGCTGCCACCTCTCTCTTTCTAGATATAACACATTTATGTGACCTTGTAGGCAATTGATTATTTCGACCCTACAGCTCCTTTCAACAGAGGTCCAATATCGCAAGCTTTTCACAATTCTATCGTGATTTCTATGAAAAATTTCCTGGTAAGCTACATTCTCTATTTCCACCAGTTGAAACATTTATGGATAAGACCTGCCAAGCCATATATACCCAGGGGCAAATATTTCTTTCATATTCCATTGGGAAGGAAGAAGTTCAATTCAGACATATTCTTCACAATAGTCACTATCTTATGAGAAGATGCTTCATTGAACACCACAATTTTAACCTCTTCAAATCTCGGATCAGCCATTACCTATCATCTTATTCACATATTTTCACTTTCCCTTTACTGTCCTTTATCCACACAGCAACCTAATTTATTAACACTCTACCTTGAGGGGCCATTCGGAATTGTATTGGTTGGACATTTAGTAATATATCTATATCTATATCTATCTATCTATCTATCTATCTATCTATCTATCTATATATATATATATATATATGTGTGTGTGTGTGTGTGTGTGTGTGTGTGTGTGTGTGTGTGTGTGTGTCAGAGGGCACAGGCTTTAAAAAATTATATACAACTTAATATACGACTAATTTTGTCTCCCTAAACCTCTCAATAAAGTCATAGCTGATTGCAATGATAAATTCATTCAAAGGTCCTGTTATTTTATGTCTTCTTTCCCTTTCTTTCAGTCTCAAATGACCTTTTCAAGTCTACAGGTTTAATACCATCAAGTATCAAGTCAGACATGTCCCGAAGTGAAGACATCTTGAGTGATTTGCACTTCCCTCTATTTCTGAAGGTTACCATTTTGAAAATTTGCCAACTCTATCCACCAAAAGTCAAATGTTAGAAGTTATCGACATTGTGATTTTAACAAGACCAAGTTATTTTAATTACTACTTTGTGCCCTGTCAACACTGATTATCTTATAAATGTTTGCTTATATATGTACTTAAAGTATTTAGATTTTCTCAAGACATTGTACATAATTCTTTTTTTATTACTAAATTGACTTGCAGATTTGGTTCGTGGTTGGGATGGATTTGTTTTTACCGATTTCTTCTTAGAATTTGTCACAGAAAACTTTTATTTCTACTTCTTTCAATGTTT